TTGAAACTGCACTCCTTGGTAGGTGAACTTGGTCCCGGCTGGGTTTCTTGTTGATCTTCTGGAGGAGGGGCCTGTTGTAGTGATTCTCAAGTGTCTTTGCCCCAGGCGGAGTCGCACCGCCCTTACCAGGGGCCGGGCTGAGTAATCCGCTCGGGTTTGCTTTCGGTAGCTTTTGTTCCCTGAGCGCTTTCCGTAGAGTTCCGGAGGACGGGAATGAAGATGGCGGCCTCCCAGTCTCCGGCCTGGAAGAGCCGAGAGCCCGGGGCCCCACTCCTCAATGCGCCCTCAGAGAACAGCGCCCAATTGCTCCCGTCACCCTGGCCTCCGGCAGCGCTCCGAGCTGACCGAGCCTGCGACCGGTTCAAGGTAAACCCAAGCTTAGAGCTCACTCCTGGGCTCTGTCTCTGTAGCCGGCTTCCCCGTTCTAATACCTGTAAGCTCTGCGACACTCAGACACCCCTGATCCTTCTGTGACCCTGCGGGACCTGAGGCCACGCTGACCCCGCGTGCGCCTCACCCCGGTTAAGCCTCTGGAGTGATGCCCCTCAGCGGAACAGACTTTTAAAAGTCCTGATTTTCTGCTCCGTTGCTCCGCCGCTTGCCGGGAGCCGGCCCCTCCCCCCGCGGTCTATCTTCCCGTCGCTTTGGATTCACTTCTCCGCCAGTCCTACCTTTCAGAAATGGTTGATTTTCTGTTTCTAGAATTGCTGTTCTTCTTCTCTTCGATCTCCCGTTGGATTTGTAGGTGTTTGCAATCTTTAGATAAGCTATCTAGCTGATCTCCCGCTACCTGAAGTAGTCTCAGCCTGCTACTTCTCCGCCACCTTGACTCCTCCCCGCCGGAAACAGTGGCTTTGAATGACACACTGGACCAGATTGATCTAACAGATATGGTCAGAACATTATGACCTGAAACAGCAGAATACACATTCTTTTCAAGAGCAGATAGAGATCACCAATTAGGTCACAAAACAAATTTCAACAAATTCAAGATCAGAGTCATACCATGCATCATTTTGAACCACAAGTCCTGAAAATTGATATCAACCACATGAAAAAAGCAAAAAGAACATAAATACTTGGAGGTTAAATAACATTCTACTAAATAATGAATGGGTCCATTAAGAAATCAAAGAGGAAACGGAAATATGCATGGAGACAAATGAAAATGAAAACATAATGGTCCAAAATCTTAAGATACAACAAAAGCAGTTCTAAGAGGGAAGTTTATAGCAATATAGACCTACCTCAAGAAAAAAAAAAAAAAAACTCAGCCTAACCTTACAGCTAAAGGAGTTATCAAACGAACAAATCAAACTCAGAGCCACTAGAAGGAAAGAAATAATAGAGCAGAAATAAATGAAAACTAAAAGAGAAAAAATAAATGAAACCAGGAGACAGTTCTTTGAAACGATCAGTGAAATTGATAAGCCTCTAGCTAGATTCAAACAACCAGAAATGAAAGAGCAGTAACAACCAACACCACAGCACCACAGAAATAAAGTTATAAGAGAATATTATTAAAAATCATATGCCAACAAACTGGATAGCCTAGAAGAAATGGGTAAATTACTAGAAACATAGCACCTCCCAAAACTGAATCAGGAAGCAACAAAAACTTTGAACAGACCAGTTACCAACAATGAAACTGAATTAGTAATCAAAAAACAAAAGTTCAAGACCAGACAGCTTCACAGGTAAATTCTACCAAACATTTAAAGAGTTACTACCTATTCTTCTTAAATGATTCCAAAAAAAAAAAAAAAAAAAGAGGAAGGAGAGTAGCCAGATTCACTCTATGAGAGTATTACCCTGATATGAAAACCAGATACAGATGCTACAGAAAAAAGGGAATTACAGGCCAATATCTCTTATGAACTTAGATGCAAAAATCCCCAATAAAACATTAGCAAAATGAATTCAACAGTACATTAAAAAAAATCATTAATCACGATGAAGTGGGATTTACTAGTGGGATGCGAGGGGAGGCTCAATATTTGCAAATCAGTCAACAAGAGAAAGGATGAAAACCATATAATCATTTCAAACTGAAAGATTCAGAGAAAGCATCTGACAAAGATGACAAAAAAATCTGATAACCTACATTCATGATGAACATACCTCAACATAATAAAGGCCATATAAAACACCCACAGGTAACAACCTACTCAATGCAAAGAAGAGTTTTTCCTCCAAAATCAGGAACAGGACAAGGATGTCCACTGTGACTTCTATTCAACCTAGTACTGGAAATACTAGCCACAGCAATTAGATAAGAAAAAGGAATAAAAGGCATCCAAATTGCTACGGAAGAAATAAAACTTTGATTATTTGCGAACGACATGATAATATGTAGAGAAAACACTGAAGACCCCACCCAGAAAGTACTAGGACTGATAAATGAATTCAGTAAGGTCACAGTATAAAATAACCACCAATGTACCTAAATCTTTTGCATTTCTATACATTACTAATGTAGTAACAGAAAGAGAAAGGGGGAAAACAATCTGATACACAACTGTACCAAGAATAATAAAATACCTAGAATGAGCTCAATCAAGGAGGTGAAAGATCTGCTGTACTCTGAAAAGTATAAAACAATGATGAAAGAAATTGAAGATGACACAAATGACTGGAAAGATACTGCATACTCATGGATTGGGAGAACAAATATTAAAATGTCTATACTACCCATCCTACAAATTTAATGCAATCCTTATCAAAATACCAGCAACATTTTCCACAAAGGTAGAATAAATAATCATAGAATTTGTATGAAACCACAAAGACAGCAAATAGCCAAAGCAGTCTTGAAAAAGAACAAAACCAGAAGTATCATAATCCCAGATTTCAAGATACACTACAAAGCTGTGGTAATGAAAGTAGTATGGTACTGGTACAAAAATAATGCATTAATCAGTGGAACAGAATAGAGAGCCCTGAAATAAACCCATGATTATATGGTCAATTAGTCTTTGATAAAGCAGGAAAGAATATGCAATGGGAAAAAGACTGTCTCTTCCACAGTGCTGGGGAAACTGGACAGCTACATGCAAAAGAATGAAGTTTCAGGTTTGTGTGCACACCATGCACACAAACCTGAAATGACTAAAACAGAGACGTGAGCCCTCAAACCATAAAAATCCTGGAAGAGAGCAGAGACATTAATTTCTCTGACATTAGACATAGCGTTTTTCCCAATATGTCTCCTGAGGCAAGGGAAGTAAAAGCAAAAATGATCTACTGGGACTATTCCAAAATTAAAAGCTTTTGCAAAGTAAAAAGACCAATCAAGAAACTAAAAGACAACCTACTGAATAGGAGAAGATGTTTGCAAATGTACCTATCTAATAGAAGGTTAGTATCCAAAATATATTTAAAAACTTATACATCTCAAAACCACCAATAATCTGATTTAAAATGGGCAGAAGACATGAAGCTGTTTATCCAGAGAAGACATCCAGATGGTCAACAGACAAATGAAAAGATGCTCAACATCACTGACCATCAGGGAAATGCACATCAAAACCCTGATGAGCTATCACCTCACACTTGTCAGAATGGCTGAAATCAGAAACATGAGAAGTAACAGTATTGATGGTGAGCATGTGGAGAAAAAGGAACGCTTGTGCACTGTTGGTGGGAATGCAGATCGATGCAGCACCATGGAAAAAAGTATGGAGGTTCCTCAAAGAATTACCGTAAGATCCATTAATTTCCACTACTGGGTCTTTTACCCATAGAATACAAAAACACTGATTCAAAAAGATATATGCACCCCTATGGTTATTGCTGCATTATTTACAATAGCCAAATTATGGAAGATGCACAAGTGTCCATTGATAGACGAATAGATAAAAGATTTAATATATATGTATATATTATATGTAATATGTGTGTATATATTATGTGTAATATGTGTGTTTATTGTGTGTATATATTATATATAATATATATGTATTACATATACAGACACAATGTAGTAAAGATAAATGTTATATATAACATGTATAATATTATATGTAATACACACGCGCGCACACACACACACACAAAATGTAGTATTTCTCAGCCCTAACAAAGCATGGAATCTTGCTGTTCGCAACCATGTGGATGGATCTGGAGAGCATAATGCTAAGTGAAATAAGTCAGAAAGACAAATATGTATGATTTCACTCAAGTGGAATGTAAGAAGCAAATAAAGCCAAAAACCCCACAAAAATCAGAAAACAGACTCTTACCTATAGAGAATAAAGTGGTGGTTACCAGAGAGGAGGTTGCTGGGGGGGGGGGGCGGGAGGGTGAATGGGTGACGGAGATAAAGAGTACACTTACCATGATGAGCATTGAGTAACATATGGAACTGTTGAATCACTATATTATACACCTGAAACTAATATAACAATTTTTAAAACTGTACTGGAATTTTAAAATAAAAATTAAAATTAGAATTAATTTAAAATGAAAGTTTCTATTGATTAGAGCTAGAACCATCACTGGATTCTGGGTGTTAAGAACCCAGGGGCACAGGGAGGTCAAGAGGCTGGCCGTAATCACTGAGAGTGGACTCCTTCATCTATGCCCCACCCTGACCACGGCCGTGCTTCCTTTTCCACACTGCAGTTACCCAATTACGTGGTCAACAGCTGGGGACTGAAAGTTAGGAACTATCAAAGTTGGGCTTCAGTGATTTACAGAAAAGTGAGATGGGGCCTCAGGATCCCATTAACCCTCTCTGAAATTACCCTTCTGGAACTGGTACTCCTAAAACCTGCCTGCACCATCAAGGTTCCAGGCCAGAGGACCTTTTCTAGACTTTGGCAAGTAGTGCCTGATGTCTCAGCCTTCTAGGATTAAAGGATGGGCATATCTTTTGCTTTGTGGAGAGCAGTGGGGAAACATTCCTTTGAGAATCAGTTCCCTGGTCGTGAAGGGCTCCTTTGGTGCATTTAGCCAAGCTGAGCCATCAGAACCAGCTACAACTTTCTTTTTCTCTTCAGCACCAAGCCTACAGAATCGTCGCTATCCATCCATGGCAAGGATCCATTCCATGACCATCGAGGCTCCCATCACAAAGGTGAGTGGCAGCTGCTGCCTCCACTCTGCAGTCAGGCCCACCCAGCACTGGGCTAATTTCTGGAGATAAAGTCATAAATGACTTACTACTGATACCATAGAGAGGAAGCGTACTAAATAAACACATAATAAATAAATTTGTATTTATAAATTGCAATGACTGTTAGTAAGGAAAACTGTAGGTTCTAAGAGAAAATTAGATTACTATGGCCCTATTCGTGTTGGGTGAGGTGATCAGGGAGAGTTCTCTCTAGAGGAAGTAATGTTTGAAGTAAGAACTGAAGAATGCAAGGATGTTAGAAGAAAAGGTGGGCGAAGAGAATTCTGGACAGCAGTCACAGCGAGGGAAGAAGCAAACAGTTGATGGAGTACTGGAGGATTGGAGTATTTGAAGAAGAAGGTAAAAAAAAGTGTGGGCGGCTAGAGCTTGGAGACCGGAGGTAGGGGTTGGGGGAGAAGTGTTCATATTTTAGTTGTTTGCAGAAGAAACCACTGAAGAGTTTCAAGTGGGGGAGTGACATGATCAAGTATGTTATTAAAAAGAACACCCAGCTGCCATGAAGAGAATGGACTAGAAATGGCAAGAATGAGAAGAGGCCAGTTTGGGGCTTTTCCAGAATTTCAGGCCATGAAGTGTTGTTAGTTGGATTAGAGTTATAGCAGTGGAGATAGAAATGAATAGATGAAGAAATATTTAGGGGTAGAATTAATTTAGCTTAGTGATGAGGAACACTAGGAGAGGTGACCAAGAAATGGGGAAAACGGTTTGTCAGCTGCGGCTTCCCAGGTTTTGGCTTTGAGCACAGGTGGATACAAGTGTTGTTTTGCCCAGTGTAGGAAGCAGAGAAGGAGCTCTTATCTTCGATTTTGTTGTTGTTATTGTTCCATTTGTTCACTTGCCTGCTTTGTGGAGAAGGGAGCGATATCATGAATTTGGTTTTGGACATGTAAGTAAGATAGCGCAGTAGATATGTCAGGTAGGCAGCTGAATATACAAAGTTGAAGGTCGAAAAGGAGTTGAGACAGGGGTGTAAATTTGAGAGTACTTGGATGTGGATCATAGGGGTCCAAAATCATGGAAATAGCTTGTCTCTGGAAGGACTGGAGAGTGAAAGAAAGGCCCAGCACCAGTCTCCAAGGAGCTCCAACCTGTAGAAGAGAGCTAGAGAAGGATCAGCAAAGGAGCTGCAGAAAACGGAGTCTCTGCGGCGGGAGCACCACCAGCAGAGGGGGGACAGAAGAATGGACTAGTTCAGTGGAAACACGGAGCATTTTGAACAACAAACCGTGTTACCATCGGATTTCTTACCATTTCCAGGCATACGTGTAACCTTTGGGAATTAGAATCCTAATATCCTCAAATTTATTCTCTCTACTTCCTTAGGTTATAAATATTATCAATGCAGCCCAAGAGAACAGCCCCGTCACAGTAGCAGAAGCCTTGGACAGGGTTTTAGAAATTCTACGGACCACAGAACTGTATTCCCCTCAGCTGGGTACCAAAGATGAAGATCCCCACACCAGTGATCTCGTTGGAGGCCTGATGACTGTGAGTGATGAGGGAAACCCAGAAAGGCAGGGGAGAGGCAGGAAGTGCCCTCCAGAGGACACAGAACATGTAACATAGAAACTGGTGCCTGTAGTTGCAGAAACATCTGTCGTGTGGGCTAATGTCAGCATAACCAGAAGCATCTGCATCAAAAGTTATTATCTGAGTGGTAGAATTCAAGGAATTCTTGAATGTATCTTTCCATGAAGCTAACTGATCACAGCAATGGGAGACGGTGCTTCAGAATCCTCATGACAATAAAGAGTAGCAGTTGATGGAGAAGTATGCACAGGGGAGCCCTTGTCGATGTCTTCCCCTTGACCCAGGGCAGTGTTGGATTGAGGGTTATGGACAACAGGCTCCTTATATCATGCAAGGGATTGTACTTAGACTACACCACAAAAATCGTAAAGAAAATCCTTTGTTAAAATCAAAGCTTATATAGAAGTTCCCCCACTTAACGACTAAGCCACCCAGGCGCCCCCACCCCCAACCCTAGAATCCAGTAAAGGCAGAGCTGAGCTGTTCTGGCTCCATAGGGTGAGGTGGGGCAGGGTCTGCCCCCTGTCAGCTCGCCAGTACCGCCTGCCTCGGCTTCTGTTACCACCAAGAGCAGCTGATTTTTTTTTTAAAGATGAATTTTTTTATTTATCTGTTTGACAGAGAGAGCACAAGTAGGCAGAGAAGCAGGCAGAGAGAGAGGGGGAAGCAAGCTCCCCGGTGAACAGAGAGCCTGATGCGGGGCTCGATCCCAGGACCCTGGGATCAAGACCCGAGCCAAAGGCAGAGGCTCAACCCACTAAGCCACCGAGCAGCTGATTTTTTAAGGACTCATCTGTTCTCGTGTTTTTATGTAATCTGTTTGGTGGTAATCCTCATATATCAGCAAGTGAAGAAAAAGGAGACGATTCAAATTACTCATTTGTAATCCTAATCAGAGGCTGAAACTGGAAGTACCCTTTGGGAGGAAAACAGACTCCCGGAGTTATCTGTGTGTTTTCTGTCCAGCCCTGTCACCATATGCTGGGTTGACTGGTTTTGTAGTCATTCTCCTTGTTCCTGCTGAAGGTCTTTAATGAGCCTGTAATCTAGTGACACCTGCCCCCCCCCCCCACCATTGCTTTCCTGCCCCTGGGCTGGCCTTGGCTGTCCCATCCCTGTGCAGCGTAAACTTGAGCTCTGGAGAACGCTGGCAAGGGTCATTCAGGAGGGCAGCCACAGCTGAGTCGCAGTAGGAGGCCTTTGGTTCTTGGAGCTACGTTATCTGCCCTCCTTCCCCCTGCTGGCGTACCATCTTGTGGTTCTTCTGCAGGTAAGGCTGTGAGGAACCAGTGTAGAATTCTACCTCCTTTTATTTGGTTTTGGGAACCAGAAAAAGAAAAGCAAAACAAAAACAGGAGTACCTTGCAATACCTACCTTACGGGCAAGACAGTTGTAGCCATGGTTACTTGCCTACTGATAGAGTTTTAAAAATTAAGGGCTTGGCCTAAAGATCCAAGGTATGACTTCAGGGGAGTCCTTCATTAATACTTTAATTTTTTTAAGATTATTTATTTATTTTAAAGAGGGGGAGCGCCCAAACAGCACCCAAACAGAAGGAAGGAGAGAAGCAGACTCCCTACTGAGTGCCAAGGCCTCCATAGGGCCTGATCTCTGCACCGCGAGATCATGACCTGAGCCGAAATCAAGAGTCAGAGGCTTGGGGCACCTGGGTGGCTCAGTCAGTTGAGCATCTGCCTTTGGCTCAGGTCATATTCCCAGGGGCCTGGGATAGAGCCCCAGGTTGGACTCCCTGCTCAATAGGGAGTCTCCTTCTGCCTTCCTCTGCCTACTCATGCTCTCTGTCAAATAAATAAATGAAATCTTAAAAAAAAAAAAAAAAGGAATGGGAGGCTTAACTGAGCCACCCAAGCTCCCATTTTCATTAATACTTTGAACCTTAGTGCATACTTTCTAGAGAGACAAGTAATTTTATAAATGACTTTTAAGCAAGATCTAAATAATTAGGTACTTAAGGGTAGAAAGCAGAGAGAAGGAAACTGAGATGCAGCACCATCTGGGGCCTAGTTCAAGAGCCTAGTAAATGGAAATCACCAGAATTCTTTGCACTCCCTTATGCTGCCCCAAACATGTCAAACCCAGAAACTCATTTTAAAGGCCAGTTGAAAGGCCCATGTTGCAAAACAGAAAATACAGTTGGAAAAAAAATTTAGATATAAGTCAAAAATCAGCCCACCCTTTTTAAGTTTTTACATTAATTCATCCCCAAAAGGTGGCCCATGACTTTGGTTTCCCAATATGTAAATGTAAGAACACAAGAATAACACAGTCCCTATAAGGGGAAGTGGCGTTCCTTCAAAATAACCCACATCCAAAAGCAGGACCCCTTCTGTAATTGCAGAAATGTGGCTTCAAGATGCCAGAAGACAAAGAAGGCATTTGAAAAAAGGCAAATCAGAGGTCAGATGTGAAACCTGAATGAAGTCCTATCCACTTTATTCTCAATTCTCCATCTCCTGGGGCTAATAGCAGTGGAAGGGAGAATATCCTCTGTCTCATAGATACTCTTTTAATTTTGAGCTTCAACTTGGAGTTCCAGATTGGGTTGTTCAGGATGCGGGTCTCTTAGGCTAATGGAAGAAATGAGAGAACAATGCTAAGAGCATGGACAGCACACTTCTAATAGTAGCTTTCTTTATTCCAGGATGGCTTGAGAAGGTTGTCAGGAAACGAGTATGTGTTCACTAAGAGTAAGTTGTCATCTGTCCATGTCATGATGATAACCCATCTCCAGCCCGTGCCTTCTCACATTTTGGGATTACTGTTTGGGGACAGTGTTGTTATTTCCTGTCGGGTCTCACTGGAGTTCACTGTCCCTCTGTTCTGCCTTTGAAACCAGGTCTCCTCGTTAAAATTATTTCTTTGAGCACTGTCCGAGTAGGAATTGCAAATCTCTGTACATTTAAACAGTTAAATGGAATACTTCTTTTATTATTATTTTTGGTTGGGGGATCTGGAAGTTTCATAATGAAGAATCTGGAAGTAAAAAATCTTCCTACCCTTAGAAGTTCAAGACGTCCTTTCTAGTAGCTACCATGAAGATGATGACAGATGCTCAGGGGCACTCAAGATTCTGCAATTAACCAGCCTCCCCAACCCCATCTGTTTGCTCAGATGTGCACCAGAGTCACAGCCACCTTGCGATGCCAATAACCATCAACGATGTCCCCCCTTGTATCGCTCAGTTACTTGATAATGAGGAAAGTTGGGAGTTCAACATCTTTGAATTGGAAGCTGTAACACATAAAAGGTATGTGGCTTCTCTGGCTGCAGGTGGGGAAAGATTGATGGCCACGCTCAAGACTTTCACATCTGGATTTGAGGGAGACGTGAGTTCTTGCCACAAGAAACTTCACAGGTTCTACCAGTCATGCCATGCTGGAATGTCAAACAACCAGAGAGACTGTGGCCCCTGAATGAGCTCCTTTATGGAGACAGAGTGGGTAAGATGTGGAATTAGCCTGGTGATGACCAAGGATGAGGACTTACTACGTGTCCTTTTCAGATTTATCCAGGTCATTCCTTTGTGCTAGTGAGCCAGGAGTTGCAAGTGCTCTCAGCCCCAAACTGTTGAAGCTCCGCCTCACAAAATGAGTTTGAGAGCACTACAGACTTGACCTTGGATCTATCCGGGAGGCAGGGAAAAAATTAAATAACTCAGAAAGACCTCTTCTATAGTAGGAGAAGGCTTTCTTCTGGGGCTGTTGATGTACAGGATGTGAATGATTCTCACTTGTACATGAATAATGTGAAGGGAAATGGTAAGACTTTGCAGAGACCACTGTCCTTAGGCTCAGTGACTTCCTGAGGGGACACAGAGGAAGTACAGAGCTTGTATAGAAATAGAGATGGACTATCAGAGATCTGTCTTGGTTGCTGGAACCACTGAGGCCATAGGACTTAAAGACAATTGAGAAATCATGTACGGATCACCACGAGGCACCTGGTTGTAAATTGGCGACTGATGAGATGTTCTGTCTCCTAATTTGGGGAGAGAATATTTTTATGCCCTTGAGCACGTGAAGTAAAAACGTCTCAAGAAAAATGCCTCTATTCCCCTGTGTCATCAAAGAATGCAGTTTCTAGACCAGTGAATCCAGTGAATCGGGTTTGTTTTCCCTTTTTCTAGGCCATTGGTTTACCTGGGCTTAAAGGTGTTTTCTCGGTTTGGAGTATGTGAATTTTTACACTGCTCTGAAACTACTCTTCGAGCCTGGCTCCAAGTGATTGAAGCCAACTACCACTCCTCCAATGCCTACCACAACTCCACCCATGCCGCCGATGTCCTGCATGCCACTGCCTTCTTCCTTGGAAAGGAACGAGTGAAGGTAGAATTTTGATATCAGGATCTAGTTACCTGCCTAAATTGGAGGTCCAGGAGCTCAATCTTATTAAATGTTGAGCCAAAAAGCTAACTTTTGTGTATATATACACACACACTCAGATTAACTGATCATGTTGGTGTTGTAAAGACATGGCCTTTTCTCCCAGCTCTCCCCTCCCCCACATGCCTAAAGTAGTGATTGATGTCATGGGAGAGACTCCTTTGCATGCCTGGCTGATTCATGAACCCATTCTCCAGGTATTCACAAGGAGCCCACTGTGAGGGATCAAGGACAGGACTTCATTATTACAGCAAATGGTTACTTGGTCTAGAGGTTCCATTTTAGGATCAGAATTGGGCCAGTGGCATATTATAAACCAGACAGTAATGAGCCATCCCACATTCTACTGACCATAGATGTATGTGTATGTATTTTGTGTAGGTGTGAATGTGTAGATCCTGTATTGATGACTTACATAATTCTGAGAGGTTTCACGTCCCTTAGTCTTACTTCGAAGTGAGTAGTGTCCTCTACAGGTGCTGATTTATAGGACAGCCCTATGTACACCCCATGCACAGCTGGCAAGAGATCCCCTTCTCCCCTCCTTCCCTACTCCCCTCACATGCACAGTGAAGCTTATAATTCCTTTGCTGCAATTAGAACTGAAGCTTAGAATGCAGATGCCCTGGGAGAACTGCTATTTAGAGACGGAAATTCGTATCAGTCTGCAGTGGCCTGACATGAGATCATCTCCGTATTCTAAGACCCTGGGTACTTAGAAGAGCGGCAGTGGGTCAGCCAGAAGGAGCAGAAATGCCACCATAGTGGGGAGAGTTTGCCAAAGCCCATCAGCCGGAAGCTGATCTTGGTATTCACTTTAATCATCAACAAAATAAACAATGTGGTCCAAGAGTGATGCTTTTGAAGATCTGTATCACCTGCGGTTAAAAAAGGTGACATGAACCTATGTTTGTACAGCCCTTTCTTGGAGGAGCCAGGGCACTTCCAGATCCCTACTGCAGGTTCACAGTCCTCCGCTATATGCTGCACGAGACACTGCACTGCTGAGGCTGCACCGGGCCAGTAGAGGACGAAACCTAAAGCATGAATGTCAAGACCAAAGTGATGGCAGCCCCTGCAGTCCAGAGTTGGAGATGAACCTCACTTAAGCAGAACCACTCTAGAAAAATAGAGACTAAATGCTTGATAAATCAGGGAGTTCTTGGTCACTTTATCATCTCCCTTACTCTCCCTCCCCTAAGAATTTTCCTTTAAATTGTGAATTCTGCTAGTGGCTGCAAAATCTGATTGAATTTCTCAAATAGCAATGGAAACAAGGCTAAGACTGTAATACAATTTAAAAGACATTTTCTAATTTTGACCGTCTTGCCAGACAATCAGAAAATGTAGAACTGCAAGGATCCTTGGAGAATTGGGCTGGAAGGAGCTCTTGAGCTCAGAGATTTTTTTTTTACTTGTGTGTGTGTGTATGTGAAGAGAGAGAGAGATTTGTGCCTTTCCCAGTAAACTGTCAACCCCATTAGTGCCAGTGTAGTTCATCATTGTAGTGCCCACACTCTACTAACTAGAGCCCAGTAAGCCTAGAACAAATGATTACTGAATGAATTCCTAAGTTATAGGATCTCTTACATGATAGTAGCCCATTTAATAACCCCCACCTAAAGTTGTAATCTGAGAAAACATTTGTATGCCCTTGTGCTTTGGTCTGTGTTCTCAGATTAACACAGCAAGAGCTTAAGAAATAGGGTCTCCCTTTTGCCTTTGCCGCCTGCTAGCCTAGAGCTGAATTTGGTTTTCAATGGCAAGAGCTGCCTTAACCTTAGTTGTCCTGGGAAAATTCTTTTTCTTGTCCATGATTCTCTTGTACTGCTTGGCTCTAGTCCCTTTACCTTGGTGTGAAGAGTCTTGATGTATTTGTGCCACTTACTGCCACTCTCTCACTCTGCCTAAGTAAGCAAATGAAATAAGTAATACTTAGGATCATAGGCCACTCTATGCTCTCTCCACTCGTGGGAAAATGTCACAGCAATACCACAGGGCAAGCATTTGGAAAGGCCTGTTTGGCTTCCTGCAAAGAGCTGGAGTGAGTGGGTGCTGGGAAGAGAATGTAGGCATCCATCACAATAGATATGTCCCATATCAGATTTCTGTTTCCCTCCAGATACGTTGCAGCATAGTGGAGTATCTGTGCTGTGTCCTGGGTAGCTTCTCAACTTCTAAGAAGTCAGAGAAGGCTCATCAGGCCCATCCCTCCTGAGGCACAGATAGGAGTGTAGGTCTCTGGTAGCCAGTGGATAACATTCACCCTTGCCTCCCCACGGTCGCAGGGAAGCCTCGATCAGCTGGACGAGGTCGCAGCACTAATTGCGGCCACGGTGCACGATGTGGATCACCCGGGAAGGACCAACTCTTTCCTCTGCAATGCAGGCAGTGAACTTGCCGTGCTCTACAATGACACCGCTGTCTTAGAGAGTCACCACACTGCCCTGGCTTTCCAGCTCACCGTCAAGGACAGCAAATGCAACATTTTCAAGAACATCGACAGGTCTGTGGTGTTTGGGTTCCTGTGCTCAGGTTTGTGAAGTGTAAGTGGGAAATGGTGTTTTCCCTAACTTCTCCAAGTCCTGAGCTGCTTCGTAGGGTAAGGAAAAGGAGAAAGAACAATAGTTGGACCATTGTATCAGACATGAAGATAGTCACCTTGCCCTTGTAAGCTTACCTGTACTTTTCAGACTGCTTTTATCTTTCGGAATTTCATTTGGTCTTCAGTGAGTTTATGGACATATTTTACATACCCCAAAGTAATTAGAAATATTGATTGTCTTACTGATAAGTACAGCAGAATTTTTACCCTTCCAGGAGGACATCCTGCCTTTTGTGTAACTCAAGGAACATGCATCCTTCCTCATCTTCCCCCAGTTCAATGTTTGCCACTTAAAAACCTAACTTATGAGGAGATGGTGTTGTTCTAGATGTCCCAGCAGAGATGTTAAAGCCCAAAGGGTGGGGCAGGTCTCCCCCTTCCTGGGCTAAGTGGGCCAGCCGGGAACAGACAGGAGCAATCCCTGGGGGCCACCACAGGCCTGCAGTCACTACGGCTGTTGCCCGTGGAGCAGCGGCCAGGCTGGAGGGCCAAGCAGACACAGAGCACAGAGCTCACTCTGGCCGCAGGGACCACACTTCAACATGAACCTAACATGCCGGTCTCTAGAAATCTGAGAAAACACGGAGACCAGTTATTCCACTTTCAGAAAGTTTCATCAGTGTCAAGGACTGTTTTTAGAACTTTCACTGAAAGAATTTTCTCCAAGAGCCAACTCTACTCAGCTCTTCATGCTGGCTCCTAGAAATTAGAAGAAGATGGTAGGACCTGGAGAGTTAATGGGGCAGGTTTGCAGCTCCACGCAATACACCTTCGATCTAATTTAGAGCTTTTTCAGGGGAAAAACATGATTCCGAGGCCGTCACCTGAGGAAGTGCTGACAAGTCTCTGTAATAGAAACCCGAGTCTGGGCCGCCTGCCTCGGGGACAGCTCACCAGGCTGCCGCGCCAGGCTTGCAGGGCAGGGACTTGACATTGCCGTCCACCTCACTGGGTTTGTGTTGCCAAGGGAAGGGAGAAGGAAACCACTTTGTAAAGTAAGTGCCTGCTATGTGACATCGCACACACGCACGCACGCACACTCTCACGTCCTACGACGAAGGGTCCACTGCACTGGGGACAGTGGAACAGCATCAGCAAGTCCTGGCTTACGGGGAAGAGGCACAGGCAGACTTGAGGATCCGCACTCGGTTCCCAACTCTGTGCCCCTGGCTTCCTCCCGCGCTGTGGAAGTGTGGGGAGATGGGAGCACGACAGTTCTCATTCCGGACCTGATATGAACAAGGCTCTTTGTCTTGTTTATTTTAGGAACCATTATCGAACACTGCGCCAGGCCATTATCGACATGGTTTTAGCAACAGAGATGACCAAACACTTTGAACATGTGAACAAATTTGTGAACAGCATCAATAAGCCAATGGCAGCTGAGGTGAGCATTTCCCCTGTGGTCAGATAGAGCCGAGCACTGTTCCCATCAGAGGCTACTCTGGCCTCAACGCACTTTCTCCTCATCCTGAATCCAAGGTGGCTCTCTGCCCGGAGCTGGTGAAGATGGGCTGGAAGTACTGGCCACAGTGTCCACAGTAACCCTGAGCTCCCTAAAAGGAGGGTCCTGAAATAAGGCCTATGGTGACAGGAGGTAGGCCCAAAGAGTAAGACAGACGAGGCCTGCAGATAACAGAGGCTAGCCTGTGTGGGGTATTTTAGAGGATCAAAGCCCTTTCTAATTCTCGGTCATTGGAGACCTCCAAAATGGTTGTTTTTAAGGAGAGAGACCATCCAAGAGACCCTCTTAACTACAGGGAACAAACCGGTGGTCACCAGAGGGGAGGGGTAAACAGGTGGTGGGGATAAGACAGCACACACACCCTGATGAACACGAGTGATGTAGACAACTGGCAGTTTCAGGCATACGATGTAGTGATGCCATACTGTATATCAACTCTACTGGAATTAAAAGAACTCAATAAAATAAAGAGTAAAATAGAAGCTAAAATCTAGTATTGGCGGGAAAAGTGGATGTTTTAAAGAACTATATTCCTGCTGACTTGCATTACAAACATTAGTACCTAAAGATTCCATATAGTCAAATTGTGAGTGCTAGTTGAAAACAAAAGCATTTGTCATTTTTAAAATTTACTGATCTACCCTAGTCCTGCCTTAAGGCCCCTCCAAACTTGGGTTTTAAAAACATGCACAGAAGGTTCACATCTCTGTCATTTAAAATGAGCTCAACTGACCTCTGAAACCATGAAGCTGTTCATAGCCCTGTAAAATCAGGAAAGCTTTATGCTCATTTCCATTGAGCAGAAGCTGTATGTGGATGGATGATGAATGGTTGTCTTCAAAGTAACCTGATGATCAGTAAGGAGACTGTTCGTGGAGGACCCCTCACATGACCAGATGGAGGGACAGTGTCTACCTCATCTGTTCTGCTTCATCTCCTGGGGTCCCACAGCGTAATGCCAGGGCCCTCTCTTTTCAGGAGACTGACTTATGGGGGTAAGGATCTGGGGAGTCAGGAGGGGGAAATTACACGGAATTTAGAGTTAAGGAAAGTCACCTATCAAAATAAGCTCCCAACTCTGTGTTGAGATCTATTATTTACAACAGTATGTATTGTAAGCAGTATTTTACCAGTGGTAAGAAATCAAAAAAATAATTTTCAGAACATAATTCTGTCCACTGATGGTTTAATAAATAGATCTAGTCTCAAAATAAAACAAAACCAGTGCTGACCCCTTAAAATGTCATACAGTTTTTCAGCTTGGCAGAACTCTGGAAATGTAATTGTTTTCACACAATCTGATGTCTTTAGAATCAGAAGATAGCAATCATCCAGGTTTTGTGTAACTGACCTATCATTGCATTTATGTAAGCCTACTCACAGAACTGGCCACGTGGCTCAGGACCCCTGACATCCGTCACTAGGTCTGTACTCCTGCACAACTGGTCTTTCTGAACATGACCAAATACATCCAATCCTGCCCCAGCTCACTTTCATGCTCTTAGTACCCCCCCAACCAAGAATGTACTTGGGTCATGACTCGCCACCATTCGTCGGAAAAGCAGCCAGGAAAGCATTAAGAGCCTTAAGAGAAAAGGGATGGGACACAAGGTCACAGGACAGAGAGGGAGATGGCAGGCATAAGTAGTAGAAATAAATGAAGAAAGGATTGAAGGGTCTTATGTATGTGTTCTTTCCTATCTTTAATGCATTTTTATAAACCTGGCAGTGGTTTCTACACATCCTGATAAAACTGGAAGAAAAGCTCTCCTTTAAAATGCCATACCAAACCACTAAAAGCAAAACCAACCCCAGGTAATAGTTACCTCTGGGGAATAGGATGGCAGTGAGGGGATGAGTGGTGACAAGGAGTTTGATGTTTTAAACTGTTTGTCTTGACTAAGTGTATTATATATGGAATTAAGGATGGGAAAACTTGAGTCCCAGGCAGGTCTGAATGGGCCTGGTTGCCGACCATCTAATGTCTGGCCACTGTGGTCATAACATCATTTTAACGCTAATATGACCATCTGTCTTCCAGATTGAGGGCAGCGACTGTGAATGCAACCCTACTGGGAAGAACTTTCCTGAAAACCAAATCCTGATCAAGCGTATGATGATAAAGTGTGCTGATGTAGCCAACCCATGTCGCCCCCTGGACCTGTGCATCGAATGGGCTGGGAGGATCTCTGAGGAGTATTTTGCACAGGTACACTGCCTCTCTAGGGAAGCTCCACTTCTCTTCTGGAAATGGCTCCAGGTCATGGAACTCTGGAGATTTTCCAGTTGAGTAGCCATCAATTAATACATGAATCCTCCCTGGAAAGAAATGGCTCACCCTGGCCTGAAATAGACTTCTGGTTTGACTGATGTGGCTGGTCACTGACCAAAGTCTTTCTAGGAGAGAGGGGATAAACTGAGCCTCTGGAAGTATCTTTTCATCATCAAAATGTTAAATCCTGAATTTCCACAAACACTGGGCTACCATCCGTTCACTTACCAGGTTATTCTTCTCTCCACTGAGCCCTGTGAGGACACAGAAGTGCAAGATGCACTCCCACTCATGGGCAGCTCATAAACAGTAGGGGAGAGGTGTAGACGTAGATAGGTCCACACGTCGCTAAAAATAGGAAGTATCTCCAAAGGAGGTATGGTAAATGCTATCTGAGTTCAGACCGATATGTTTCCTAGATGATGATAAAAGAAAAGAAAAAAAAGGAGCTTTGAGGGAATTGGTACTAAAGTTGTGTTTTTATTTTTTGAAAATAAGATTTAGATATATGGAAATAGGAAAGGACTTCGTGGGAGAGAAAGTATCATGTGTAAAATTAGTAAGGAAGAAAAATAGAATTTTTATATGAGAATAGCAATATGTAGTTCATTTTGGCAGTGTGAAGGAGTTGAAGGAAAAAAAAAATCCAGAAACGAGCAGACCACAAGATGCCTTTTGAAATACAGGCCTACTTCCAGGGAAGAGGCTCTGAGGACCGTGGTGCGTGTGTGATAGAAAGGAAAACACGCACGCAGCCCCAAGTCCTACACTGGGGAGGGCCAGCATGGCAGTATGTACCACGACGGCAAGATCAAGAATGGTTCATTGTGTCCCAAAGGGGCAGGGGCAGGACAGCCAAGTACTTGGTACGTTAACTGCAGCTTTCAAGGCTGAGAAGAGGAGCTCCAGAAATGGAGAAAAGTAGGGCAGGCAGTCTGAGGTTGCCAGAAAGAAGGGGGTTAAGAGTAAAAAACCCGAACTACTCCTTGAACAATAGTGGAGATTTTAAAGATGCCTCATCGATTAATCTGAAATGAGCAAGCTGAGCCAAAAGTTGGTAGGAGGTCATTAATGGGCCTCCCAGGACCCACAGAGGTGGCCTGAAATCCTACTCCTAATTATTCTCTAAGTACAGGCATGGGAGAGGAACACTTTTAAGTCATTTAATATATGTTCCTTGTTCAGCTGTCCTTCTCCCAAAAAGTAATGTACTAATGTTCACAAGCATTGTGGCCTAAGAATCACGAGTCAGAAACGAGGCCTCTGATGAGCTGGCCTCGGGTTCAGCACACCATCAGGAACATGGGGATCTTAATATTCAGCTCAGCACAGGCCGGCCTTACACAAGTAAACATCCACTCTACTGTGCGAAAATGCTCAGGCTGACACGCTCCTGGAGAACCGCATGACCAGTACTCAAACCTGAGCGATCCCAGTTTGCTGTTCTTTGAAGTAAAAATAGTGTGCTTCAGCTCAACTGCTGAAATGCTTTTCCTCCAGACATCATCATGATGCTGTGCTGTGTGGTGTAAGGGCTTTATGAGGACTTCCCATTTTGTGAGAACACAGAATTTTAAAAGCACATGCACTCAGAGGTCAAAATTCATTAAGATTAAAAATTCTTACTGCTTCAATGAGGATATTGGTAAGTGAAACTGGCTTTTTGAACTTCAGGCACGTGACTCCTGGTACAGTTTGGTGACAAGTGCCTTGACTCACACTAAGGCATAAGCACTGTCCCACCATCACTCCCCCACCATCACTCCTGCACTCACTGTAAATGGTGGTATCAGCAGTGTTAGTACTCAGCGCTACTAGTGGGACTGCGGAAGCCAATCTCCAGAAAGGGGTGAAGAGATCAGTGCTTCAGGAGGGGCTCTGGGATAGTACAAGAGACCCGAGTCCCTAGCTCATCAGGCGGTTGACTTACAGGAGCCTTAGGAGCTTACTGAACCTAACGAGGTCTTCAGGGCGACAGTTAGAGGAGTTCTGAGAAATGAGATGCTGTGACAGCTCCTCGTGTGCCCCAGCCCTGTGTGTGCTCTCATTCCTCGCAGACTGATGAAGAGAAGAGACAGGGGCTCCCTGTGGTGATGCCAGTGTTTGACCGGAATACCTGCAGCATCCCCAAATCCCAGATCTCCTTCATTGACTACTTCATAACAGACATGTTTGATGCTTGGGATGGTAAGAGCGTTGGTGTTTTGTCACCCCGCAGGATACTGTTATACTTTATGATGATAACCCTTATTGACACAGGTTGGGCCTAAAGGTATACGTGAAATGCTACTTTTGGTTGTGTGTGTGTGGAGATAGCTACCAGCTGTTTGCAGCCAGGTGGGGGGAGGGGCGCGTGGGCACCTTCTGCATCCCCAGCACCTTGCAGAGAACCTTATGTACAGGAATCTCAGTGGATGTTTGATAATGGCAGCAATAAGTCTTAATCTCTGGGAAGCAAAGGTTTCCAAAGTTTGCAGGTTTAGCCATTCCTCAGGGAAACTCTATAAAGAATACCAACAGCATCTGTGAATCAGAGTAGACCAAATACATTTTGTAATGTTACTAATAAGTGACTGTTTGTATTTCAGAAACTAGAGTTAATAACTTACTTTCCCATGCTTGTATATGCACTAGGGAACCTCTCTTCCACTTCTGAACCCCAATCTATCTCACAGAGCCCCGGCCTTACATATGTTCTGGTCACCTAACTTGTGATTCTTTGATGTCCTTGCAGCCTTTGCCCATCTGCCAGCCCTGATGCAACATTTGGCTGATAACTACAAACACTGGAAGACATTAGATGACCTCAAGTGCAAAAGTCTGAGGCTTCCATCTGATAGCTAAAGCCAAGACAGAGAAGGGGACCTCGGGATCTGCGAAGGGCACTGTGAATCAGTCATGGAAATAAGAGGCATTCCTTTCTAGTGAAAAGGACAGGTGTAGGTTAAGGAGTTGGTGTTTAATATTGGACCTTTGAATTATTTAAGTCCCCAAGCTTCATTTTTAGAAAGTTACGTTCCGTGAAGAGAAAGACATGTTCTTTTGAACACTTAGTGACAGAACAAACACATGGCAAAATCCTTTGTCCTACTGTCATCCTGTGTGTCCTCATGAAACCATGGAGCTCATTTACTATATATAATAGCAGGACACAGCAGCAAAGACTTGGTGCCTGTGAGCCCATCTTGCTGGATGACAAAGTAGCTTAGTTAGTGTCTCTTACCATAAAAGTCACCTTCACTGTTTAGCTTGACTGTTTTCCTCAAGAGTCTCAGCCTGAAGGATTCATAATACCTAAGGTGAAAAAACTATATAAAAAAATGAGCAAAACAACTAGGACCAAATTACTGATAAACTAGTTGGTTTTGTCACCTCTATGGCTAAGCAGTTCCTTTGCTCAATGGTGTGACAAGCAAGGTTGACCACAGCCTTGGCCTGGTGAGTGCCTTCTGTAGACTGGTAGCAGTGGCCTGTGTAGCCGTCTTTCCTAGAAAAGGAATTCATCTTAACAGAAAGTACTTCATGATGGGGGAGGGACTGACACCTTATTTGGGGGGAATCCAAGAGCTTCCCTTATTTCCAGTTTACAGAGGCAGTCACAAGGCACTAAAATGAGTATATAAAAGCCATTAAATTTGAATGCCCTTGGATAAGCTTTTTTAAAAAAAAAACAAAATTTATATACATTTGCTGTTTAAAATTTTTATTAAAGTACTCTAAATTTGGTGGGTCTAAGTCCGGAGTAGGTTATGCAGTGTACCATCTAGACATCTCTTTTTGGGGAGGGATGGGGAAGTTTCAAGGTTCAAATGTTTTTAACCTATCTATATTTGAGACCTTGCCATTTTGCTTTAATGATGTAAAGAAGAAAAGACTGCACGATGTGTAAATAGATTAGAAAATAGGCATAAGGAGAAGCAGTAAATACTATTTTATGCTCTTAATTGTATGCTAAAAGCTTCTAAAGCACAAGTGCATATTTTTATACAGCTCTTTTGAAAACTTTCTGTGATCTACATAAAGTCAGACTTGAGATTTTCCTTTCTCTTTTACCAAACAACCCTTCTCTATGTATTGTAAATATCAGAAACTCCGTAAACAAAATATCTTCATTTTCCTTTTCAAATCCTCTGTACTCCATGCTGCATTTTAATGAGGTATAAACAGAGGCTGAATTAGTTGAGTAGTAGTTATTTTTTTCAAATGAAAATTGGAATGCATAACACTTGAAACCAGTACATGGAAAGAAAGAAAATGACTTATCACTACATAATGTGCCAATGTTTTTTTCTATGTTTTGTACCAAAAAATGAAATCATATATGACAATTCCACGCAGAGAAATGTATCTAAATTATTTTTGTTAGAAAAGCGAATGTGCTTGGTCAGGACAGCAGCTAGCTTTGTGTTGTAATGCTGCACTATGTAAATGTGATGAAAGTGTTTTTGTGAAGTACTTGTAACTAAATTCCTACAGCCATTTTTCATTCCCAACAGCTGTTTTTATTTTATCTCTTTGGCCTAAACTTTTCATTATTTCAAAATTTCGCTTTAGTGTCCTTTATTTCATGAGTCACACACTTTATTTTCAGACACATTAAATTCAGGATGTCAAAATCCCATTTTAAGGAGCTAAATAACTTGCCTAGGCTTCAGAAACTTGCTCGAGACAAGGACAGTCTTTACCTCGCCATGTCGCTCTCAGTTCCACTTGGTAAGTAACATTTATCAGATGTTTGACATTTTCTGTATGAATGTTACAGCTTACTCCTTGTAATGTCAAATTAAAATGTTAAAGGCTTTAAGACTGCCAGGTACCAAAGCTTTAACACAGCTACAGTCTTAATCAGTGTGTAATCCTCTGAATTGCTAACTAAATATTGCATTCTTCCATATAGTCTTTCGGAAGGTATAAACTATTATAAATGCCTCTTTGTATTTGTTTCCTAAAACGTTCTGTGTTGAACACACCCCCACTAATTGAGAAGAATGCTATCTAATATAGATAGAAGTCATATTAGACTGACTACTTAACTACAAGTTAGTTAGAAGGTCATTCTTGTACAGGTAACAATGTTTTATAATTCTAAGTCAGGACTGGTTCGTCTTAGAGGCAAAGAACAAGCCTTAGGCTGAGAAAGGAATGATACAGTGCCCCTGAAATTTAGGCTCTTGCTTATAATTATGTGAAGACAGCCAGAGAAGGAGGTAACAGGATATTTTTAAATAAAAATGACAGGACCCACTACCTAGTGTTACTTTGGGTGCTTCAAGTTCAGTGTCTAGCAGCAGTCTACACACAGCTACTGAGCAGCCATCACGTTTGAGCCCTATTAGAATCTCCCCTCTGAGTGGGAGGCTTCCCTCCAGAAAGATCAGAGGATTGATGGTGGTACTTAGAGTACTAGTTGCTCCCAAAACTCACCTATGGTTTCTGTCACTCCATGGGAACAGATTACTATCTGAAAATACTAACCCAAAACCTATTAGGAAATACAGAAGTTGACCTGTAGAATTCATGGAAGACGTCTTACACAACTCAAGAAAACAACTTGAAAAACTTAAAAGACCTCATGTAAAATGGCCAAAGAAAAAACTAGCTAGTAATGGAAGGAGGTCCAGCTATCAAGGAAAATTTTAAAGCCCAAAAATGACTGTGAGATACCTAACTAAAGTGATCAACAACCTGATGCACTCAGACCAGGGCAAAGGGCTAATTGCAAGGTCTTACCTGCATGGGTCTCAGTTTCCTCATCCCTAACATCAGGGGATCAGACTGGCATAGATGACCTTGCTCTTCCAGTCCGGAGGTAGTAGAAGCAATGGTGAAAGGTAAAACTAGTAAAAGCAACAATTTATAAAGATTCCATTATGGATGGGTGGGAGGAACAGGTGACCTGGCAGAGAGCAAAGGAGCGGGAGTCCTCCTCCTACATGATAACAGGACTCTTGGATCAGCACTTTAACTCCACAATTAACTCCACTTTCTTTTTTAATTTTTATTCTTTAGTACCAAGAGGGAGAAAATATCTGTTCTAAGGCTGGTGGGGTGATAAAGAGGATTAAGTTGGAGTGGTCCCTGCAAGTAACTACACAAACGAAGCCTTTCTCAAGTCTTTCGTATTGGAGGAATGGTAAGATTAATCAGGCACTTGCGGCCACACTGACTTGGGAAGCCCGGTATCTCTTTACTGCTCTAGCTCTCATCCCAGGCACATCTGAGGGCTGTGTGCTGTCTGGTCCCACCTAGCTAATAGCCATTCAGCCACTCCACACCCTGGTACGATTCCTATTGACCTGAGTTTATAGGAATTGTAGTAGGTAAACTACAACAAAAGCATTTAAAGAAATTGGCACCACCAATAAAAAAGGTGGAGTTTAACAGTGAGAGACTCAAGTTTGCTCACAGAAGGTTCTTACTTAGGCGCCCCTCCCTGGTCTTTAGTAACTGAGTGGCTCAGTGGGTTAAGCCTCTGCCTTCGGCTCGGGTCATGATCCCAGGGTCCTGGGATGGAGCCCCGCATCGGGCTCTCTGCTCGGCGGGGAGCCTGCTTCCTCCTCTCTCTCTGCCTGCCTCTCTGCCTACTTGTGATCTCTGTCTGTCAAATAAATAAATAAAATCTTAAAAAAAAAAAAAAAAAAACCACCAGGGAATCTGTAGGATGTAGGATATATTTATCACAAAGATTCTTAATCCAAGAGGCTCTAAGGAAAACCAAAGAACAAAAAGCTTCTAACGAATGCCACAGTTTTACTGTTCTATTTCCACCTCCCTCACAGGGTCTAGGTTCAGAAGAAGCAGCTCAAACCCAGCACTCACCCCTTGAGCAGCAGCACAAAGCACAGGCTCCTAGAGGTCTCCAGCTGTAAATTCAAGATGTGCTACATCCTACCTGTTATTCAGTGGATTTCTCATTTTTATCCCAAAATATCATCTATAATTATATTTTCTGAAAAGTAGGCTTGCTAAATTTTTAAAACAGGTAGAGTTAAAATACTCATTTTGAGAATAAAGGCAGGTACTTCAAATTTCACAAGGGTCTAAATATGAAAGTACATGTAACTTTTAAAAAAATTTTCGTGATGAATAAGAATGTAATTAGAGGGAACAAAATTATACTAAATCAGGGTGCCTGGGTGGCTCAGTGGGTTAAGCCTCTGCCTTCGGTTCAGGTCATGATCTCAGGGTTCTGGGATTGAGTCCCACATTGGGCTCTCTGCTCTGCAGGGACCCTGCTTCCTCCTCTCTCTCTCTCTGCCTGCTTGTGATCTCTGTCTGTCAGATAAAAAAAATAAAAATTATACTAAATCAAGTGAGTGAGAGGTTCTGAGCACTACAGACCCATTTCCTCAGTGGTTTCAGGTTACTGCTATGTGAAAAGTCAAAAAACATATAGTGTATTCTTTGGTGAATGTACTAATACCGGAGAAACAACCTGCAACTCTTGATCTGGGGGTTGTGAGTTTGAGCCCCTCACTGAGTGTGGAGATAAACTCTTTAAAAAAATGAATAATACATTACAAATTTGAGTATTACCCTATATTTGACATTCAAGGTTCACGTACACGTATTCCAAATTCCTTCAACTAGATGTCAAGATATAAGTCGCCATTCTCCTCTAATTTTTGAAATAATTTTAAACTGCGCAATCCAGATTCTCTTTCTCCATTTTTCCACAAAATAATGAGATGGTCAGCAGAGCACGTCACTAGTCCATGATCTTCGAAGTATAGAAACATCTGTAAAGAAATGTAAAGCTACTGATTATAGGAATTTCAAAGAGAAAAGGTGAGGCTAACACTAGACTAACAGGTGCTTGTAAGGTGGGTAACTTGTAGACTTACTTGAATCTGAATGTCAAACTCATTTTTCATGAGAGATTGTGTAATGGTCTAGCATTTATCTATATGACTTATATATTTTAATAATCAGAACTATAACAACTATTTTTGTGAAGTACATGAATTCCCATAGCATCTTTTCAGTTTTGCTGTAATTCTTCAGATTATGTCAGAAGTCCAAGGAGAAGTGCTTTGTCAGTTCTACCTCCCCACTGCCATTATTTATGGACAATTGGCTACCAGTAAAATGTCTAAATTCCAATTTCGGCAAGATAAACACTGGCTTGAGCTCTCTAATCCATAAGCATTTACAGAATGCCATCTGTATGCTCTGGTCCCTACCAAGAAGAAGGTTCTAGTTTAGTTGTGAACTCACATCATAGTTGAAACAAAGACTATGTAACCAGGGTACTAAAAAATGTAGGATTTGCCACAGAAAGAGAAGACCTAGATGAGTAATCATTGAAACTGGCAAAACTTCAAAAACCTAAAACTTCCCAACTGAAGGGAAGGTCATACCTGGTGAAGAAAAGAAGAATAAAAAAAAGCTAATGAGAAGGCAGCAGAGCTACCTCTGGAGAAGAGAGTAGAGCTTGGCAAAGGCAAGAATGAAACAAAGGAGAGAAATACAATATCGAAGAACAGGATGGGAGTTTTCTCTGAAATAATTTTGAACAAAGCAGGATAAGGCCTCCGCTGATCTGTAAGTGAAGAGAGGGAGGAAGAGGGGAACAAAATACTACAGGTAATAGGACTGGCTAGGAAGTAAGGGTAAAAACGTAAAAGGAATGAGGAAATTCAGGAAGTAGCACCAAAAGGGAGCCAAGATTTTTCTGAAAGAAGCCAGAGCTTAAAAAAAAAAATGCTTTAATGTCAACACTTCAAGGAAAATTCCTCAGGTCTACACTATGGCAAATATGCCACTATGAAGGTTACCCCCACCATTTTTTTTTTTTTTAAAGATAAATATACTTAAGGGAGACTCCCCACTGAGCAGGGAGCCCGATGCAGGGCTCCATCCCAGGACCCTAAGATCATGACCTGAGCTGAAGGCAGAGGCTTAACTGACTAAGCCACCCAGGCGCCCTTACCCCCACTATTTAAAAACCTTTAGTGGGGTATCTACTGTTTTAAAAATAAACCCAAAATTCACCAGCCTTACAGGCAAGGACATTCACCATCTGATGCAAAACTGCTTTCTCAGGCTTTCTCTCCTCTTAGTGTCTGTTCACAGAAAACCACTGCTCTGGCCTAGCCAGTCTGCTTGTGCTTCCATGTCGATACAATCTTTGCACTTCTACCACATTCTGTTCTCCCCAGTCCCACACTACACAACAGCCACCTAAGCGAAAGCAGAGTTAAAAAACAGAACAAAAGGAAAACAACTGGGCTACATGTTAGAGGAAAGCAAGGATAAACAAGACCCAACACCCAACATTAGGGAACTCGGGGGCACAAGGCTATGTTCACCCTCCGCAACCCTCTAATTCCTAAGTACTCACTGTCTACCATCATCTGGGCCTGCCTGAGCAGCTCAGGGTAACAACTTACTTGGGCTGTGTCCTTCCTCTCTATAAGACCCAGGAGGGCAAGGATTATCCTACATGTATCTTTGTGAACTCCAGTGTCAAGTATGCTGCCTAAAATCGAGGAAATGACTGGTAAGTGTGGTGCTGCTGCTCCTAAGCATAAACACACCTTCAAATGAAGAGTAGTCTGCCGCCCCCTGGCTGTGAACCAGGGGAGAACACTGGAAGACGTTCATTACTTAGAGCTCTGTTTATAGATGATTACCAGTTCCGATCATCTTACCTCAAATGATCTTATTCCCTTCATTATAGGCAATATTGTAAATATTATAGTAAATTTAGTAAATACTAACGTATTTGGATTTCCACAAGTTAAGAGTTGTGTATATATTACAATGCTTAACTAATATTTTCATACATGCACAGCAATAACCAATGCCCTAAGTCTTAGGAAAGCTAACAAAATACGATCCTTCAGGTAAGGTATAAGGTATATATAAGGTATATATAATATAAGGTAAAAACAGTGCTCTGTTCCAGTTTGCAAGGCTTTAACTCTACATATATAACACAACCCTCCATGCACCCTCTACTACTGTTAGGTATTCAACATGATTCATGTCGTCCGATTCTCCGCTGTCTCCATCTCCTAAATAATGGTAGTTAAGCCCATTTTTAGAAGCAACACATTCCTTGCTTCCTCACATCATATCTCTGTAAAGGGGGATCTTAACTGCACATGCTATAACCTATCCATGTTTAGACTGAGCAAAAACATACAGGAAAAAAAAAACAGGTCTTTATATGAATGCCCTAAACCTTTATATGCCTATTAAAAATGGTACCTCCACGGATGAGGAGTGTCCAATCAAATCTCCAATAAGCTCCAATGAACATGGAGGAGCATTTTCTTGTTGCTTTTTAACAGGCTGGCTGGCTTGTTTGTTCACTCTTCCAAATCCCCACATGTTGAAAAAACCTAGAAAAAAACAATCATTTTGATCACTTCCAAAATTACTGTGCTCTTTACTTCAAATATAAGATCAGAAAAACAGAAAATTTAAATGCAAAGATGTTCTGTACATATTTTAGTCAAGGGCTAAGGCGATAGTATGAAACGCTAAGCTAGGGTTTTTGTAAATCTGTTACTTCGTTTCATCTTAACTACCAGGTTTGCTGCTCATTTCTTTTATTGGCCCCACCTACCCACTGGTGGAGGTGTAGTAACATGACAAAAATGCACTGGGAATCAAAATCTCCTCTCTCAAAGAGGAGAGCAGTAAAAGGCCTGGATGTCAGTGTCCAAAAAAGGAAGTCACAACACAGATCTATCAACGAAGGGTAGCTGAACAGCAACGTGTGTCCAAAACAATATCCCAGCACTTAACCTGACCAGAAGAAACTCCAGAGGTACCAGCACCTGAGTTCTTACACAAAGGTTGCTAATGAACCAGGATTTTGTTTTTCAAACCAAACACCTGCAGGTCAAGAGCTTGTGAGATTATGATACAAACACAAAAGTGTTTTTTTCCATAAACTGAGTTCGATATCAATGCTTCCAGGCTGAAAATTTGATATCTGATGGTACAAATCCTCCTTGCCTATCAAGCATTATGACAGACAATGAATAATTACTTTAATGGGCCATATGTTCAGAAATGAGAGTTTCCCTGAGAACAATAAAATACTAGTTGACTTGAAGAAAAACAGGCAGTTCTGCATTAAAGCAATATTGACATATGAATCCGAGATCCCGATTAGCATAGGCATCATGTAACACGCCTGTTTGGAGCACAGTGTACAAGACTCCTGCGCCACACGTAACCACCAGCCCTCTCCCTTTCCTATGAGAAAAGACACGCACCTGTTGGGACAGGTTCAGCGGCAAGCTGCTGTTTTTCTCTTAACTCCCAAATGCGTACACTGCCATCTTCTGAGCATGAGACTAACTGCCTGTCAAAACAGAAAGTCTGTGATAAAAAGAGAATGCACCATGGAGGGCCAGTGCTACATTGCAGTGAAAAATCAGAGGAGCCCTCAGCTGCTTTTCTCCAGCTCTCGGCAGGAGCTGACAAAAATCCCAATTTAACACGACTTCACAATGCAAAGTAAAAGCACTCTTTGGGAGGGGCAGCCGTTATATTGTTAAACTGGCTCAAATGATAAATACTTCATCCCATTTTGTAAAACACAGAACAGTGTGTATTACACTTGCATAATATCCTGATCCGTCCCGCCCCCTTCCCACCTCTTACTCTAGCTCTTGTCAGGGTGGCTCTCACACTAAAAGTACCTGCATAGAAAACAGTATTCCCTTCCCGTGATTTCATCACTAGAAACGCAGCAGCCAAATTTATCCTGACAGGAAAGCCCTCACTTAGTAGCCTCACACTACAAGGAGATGACCATTTCTTTCTGGCCATCAACAACTACAACGAAAAGATGACTTTATGGAAAATCTAACAAGAAAAATGAGCACACAGCGCCCTTTGTCTTTTTAAATACCAAATTTTAATGTTCTCTCTCCCTATAATAAAATTCCATGTACTTCATTCGAACCCTGCTT